AATCGAACCAAGGGCCATTGAATTAACTCTTCAATAACTCTGGTTTCACATGTTTGTGGGGGTGTAATAAAAATGCATTTTTTATTACACGGCGGTGTGGGACAAGGTTGTTTGTTCAGAGCCCAAAAATGTTTTAAACTGACCCTGAATGGTGTCTAGAGTAAATATGGTCCACTTTTCTGTTGGATTGCAGTATCATATCTCCTTTTAAAATATTGAAAGAGATTACTGAACTCTGTTTATAGAACTCCATTGAATTCAGTCTTTAAAAATAGTCCAAATCCTTCAATTGCATGTAATCATCCAAAGTGGAACCAAACTAAGCTAGTGACACAAATTATTGTAATAAAAGGATAAGAAGGGGCATAGGCCATATTAAGGCAAAAGCAAACTAGGCATATTCCTAGGGCCCAAACATTTAGGAGGGGCCCTGTCAGATGTGCTAATTGTCCATTTTAATTTTCAAATAAACTACCATTGTATGTTTAGATTGAAATGTTTTTAAGCATCTAATAAATGGGATTTGACTCCATGTCACTAGAAACAAGCTCTGATTTATTTACCCATACTGAGAGACTTACAGCACGTCTTGACCAGTCTTGTGCTAATGAAGTATACCAAGATGTTTGCACAAGTTCCACTTCATTATTTGCTACTGTGAGCTACAAAGAAAAATGAACAGTGTGTTTGCTAAATTTGCTCATTCTAAAATGCCATTAAGCCAGTGCTCTTTTAGGAGCAGTGAAGTGCAAAAACAGCAAAGGGAAAATGAAGACATTTATGCAACCCCCTAATTGAGATGTGTTTGATATTGAAAGGTGTTATGCCTGACTGCATAATAACTGAACAGCTATGAAGCCTTTAAGTAATCAGAGTAAAAAAGTCGTTTATTTTTTCATGAATGCTACCTCAGATTTGAATTTAATAAGAGTAACATTAGACTATACAATTGCTTGAGCACTGGTCTTACACACAGGTGTTGTTTGTGGGGGGTTTAAACATGTATTTGTTATACACTGAGGGGAAGCAAGAAGCTTGTTTGTCTAATGCCGAAAAAACAGATTAATCTGACCCTTACTGGGCCTGAAGAGTATCATAATATGGTCCATATTTCTGTTGGAAGGTTGGAACATTAGAATCTTTAGACCAAATCCAATGTCAGATTTTACAAAGCATAGAAAATGGAAAAATATTCTGAAGGAAACCATTCGATTTCTTTCCAGCTGTGATTAATATTATCTGCCATATCACAATATGCAGGAAAGGAATGAGCAGAATGTTTCTCTGAGTTGCATTATTTTTTACACGCCCTTTAAAACACATTTTATCATTTCATTACTGATGTTCAAGTTGTCTTAAGTTTTACTCGGTTAACTCAAAGATTGTTTTTCTGAAAGTCTCACAAAATGAAGTTTAGAACTAAAGTTCTGGGGGAGATCAAACTCAAGTCTTGCTAAATTCTACCCACCTATGTGGGATAAGAATCCCACTTCTTGCTGACTCACTTGTGCTCTTTGTTTGTTTTCATTTGCTGTTTCCAGCTCTCCATCTTTCTTCCACCTGCTTGAAGAAAACCAAACACTCCACCATCTCCACCTGCTCAGTAGACCAAGGAGTTGGCTAAGTATCTTGTTCAAGAATTCAACAGCAGTCAGAATATAAATTTCCAGAACCCTAACCATGTCTTTTCTGTCTTCGTTTGTATACTTGTTTATTTGTATCTCAGACACAAATAAATAAAGATAAAAACAGATAAATAAACGGTGACACATTATTTATTTGATCTACTTGACAGTACTGCAAATTGCTGTCAAGTTTTTATTTAAAACCTCTTCTACTTCATAATGTGACAACCTAGTATTGATAAAGTTATTTTGACAAAAACACTGGATCCACTGCTTTTTAAGTAACATTTGATCCAATTAAATCTTTGCTCCTTTTTCAAAATCCAAATAAGCTCCACTAAAATTCCTTCTGAGCCAGAATTTAAAAATAAATGCTCCATATGATAAAATATATTGTACTACTCACATAGGGAAAAATAGATTGTAGGAGGTGTTGTCCTTCGGATGAAAAAGTAAACAGATGTCCTCTCCACACGGTCTTTAAAGATCCCCAGTTTTGAGAGAGTAGTGGTTAACTCTGGTGTTTAAAGTAAATTGGACAGCCAGCAGCCATATTACCCTGCAACTCAAAACTGACAACTCACTGAAGCTAAGCAGATGCCAGCCTGGTCAGTACCTGGATGAGAGACTAAAACTAAGGTTGCTGCTGGAAGAGGTGTTAGTGGGGCCAGCAGGGGGTGCCCACCCTGGAGTCTATGTGGGTCGTAATGCCCCAGTATAGTGATGGGGACTCTATACTGTAAAAAGGCACTGTCCTAAGGATGAGATGTATAACTGAGATGTATAACTGTGCCCACCCTGGAGTCTATGTGGGTCGTAATGCCCCAGTATAGTGATGGGGACTCTATACTGTAAAAAGGCACTGTCCTAAGGATGAGATGTATAACTGAGATCCTGAAAAATCCCAGGGCATTTATTAAAAAGAGTAGGAGTGTTAAGCCCAGCACTCTGGATAAATTTCCCTTAGGCCTTTACCAATCATGACCTCCTAATAATCTCCATCTCTGAATTGGCTTCATCACTCTGTTCTCCTCCCCACTGAGAGCTGGTGTGTGGTGAGCGTACTGCTGCACTCTGGCTGCTTCCGGATCATCCAGGCAGGGCTGCATACTGGTGGTGAAGGGGAGTCCCCATTACCTATAAAGAGCTTTGAGTGGAGTGTCCAGAAAATGAAAGGAATTCACTCCAAATTCCTCTGCGACATCACAGAACCTTATCGTCAGCAGCAAGAGTCAATGCTTTAAACTATCCCACCTCATCTTATAACACAATATCATGCAGCCACTGTAGATTAACGATCTTTCTGTTCCACTCAACTGCTATGGGAGTTTCATTCAAGTGGATTAGCCAGCAAGGACTTATTTTTATTTCAGTTTCTTTATTGAAGTTTTAACAAACAAGAACACAACAACAATTATCAGTTTTGTTTTCAATAAAAGGTAGATTGAGGTTAAACAATGTTATACCAGGAAATGAACCTGAGATCAGGAAATGTTTTCCAGTGGGGCAGGAAACAATCAAAATATTTTTTACTCATATACATACGTTTTGTCTCAACATCTTGTTCTTACCAATAAGAAATAAAGAGACAGATTCTGTAAAATACTGCAACTGAAATTGGGATCATCCTAAATAAGGTACAATTTGAAATCTGACACTTAGTAAGGTATCATCTACCTGTCTTTGATTATTCACTATTGGCTGCACAGAAGTGCTGAAGAAGCACACAACTGATGACCAATGATGTTTGCCCTGGGTAATATATTTTCATGGATAAATAAATTACCTCATTGACATTCAGAGAACAATAGTAATATAGTTTGTTATTAACTACAAAGATAAAAAACTTTATTATTCTGGAACATATTTAAATTAAGTACAATGGATGAGAACATGGTATTCAAGTGAAGTGGTTTAGTTCTAGTTTTATATGTGAATTGGATATTCATACAGTACATACTGTAGTACTGTATACTGTATATGGATATCGAGTTCCTGTTGGTTAGTGATTTGATTCTCTAGATACAGTAGGCACATTTGGGCATGTTTTAACCACTTGAATTTTACTAAATCAGCTGCATAATTGCTGCATATAAAAACTAATGAACAGTATAATAAAGCTGATTTTGTTCAGCATAAACAAGAAATATAATTATTACTGCAATATGATCATTTTAAAAGCCTACTGTCGGATACTTCACTGTAATATTAATATCATTAAAGAGGACATTTAGGTCAATTAAGGTTTCAAATATTTTTCAACTAAAAAACTCAGTATTCCTAGATTGCAAGAAATATTATTAAATCTCCCAGGTTTGAGCAAATTAAGACATTAACTGAAAATTAGTTTAGTCATTTACGGTAAATTTACTAAAAAATGTATTTATTGAATGGTCCATGTTTTTCAGCTATTCAGCAACCTATGAAGAAAACAACCTGGTTTGAACAGGGGGAAATGTCGAGCACACTGGGGATTTTGAATGGCCTGTAAGTTCATCCAGTGAATTTTTGTTATTAACATTACAAGAAGCAGTAGGTCCTGGTGGGCCAAGGTGTCTGCGTTCTCTTTGGATTGCTCTCACCTTATTGTCTGACCAGAGATTAGACCCAGGAGCCTGTCTGAGTGAATGTGATAAAAAATCAAATGAAGAGACCATCTTAACTACTCACAATCTCCTTCACCCTTTCTCCTAGATTTTCGGTATGACAATGCTGTTCTGAAGTATAACAGATTGCCACTGCAATGTGTTGGAGGATAATGTCAGAGGTTTGAGTTGGAACATAGTTTAGCATGATGTTTTTCAGAGTCCAGTACTCCAATGTGTTTACTTAACAAAAGAAGAGAAATAGAATTTCTTTTAAGGTGCTTATAATGAGTTTGGAGAGATAGCCTGTAGTTCTGAACCACTGTGTGATTGTTAAGGTTTGCCAGATCACAGATAATTACAGACTGTGTGGAATATGAATGGCTGGTGGTTTGTGAAATGACTGCTTGTGTCCTTCCAGTTACCGCCAGATCCTGTGAAAAATACCAAGTTATATCTCAAGCAGCTTATTCTGAAGAAAAGAGCACTTCACATAAATGAAAAAATCTTTCATTTGCACTTTCAAAAGTATGTTTTGAAGACAGAGGTTTTCTTAAATGACAGCTTGTGCCAGTAAAAAGACACAGTGAGTTCACAGAAGCTGTAGTTTCTGAGGGATTATCCTAACAACACACTAGACTCAATAATGCATATGAAGTGCATACGTTTACAGTCAGCTGTAGTTGCAGTTTGAGGATAGGTTGCAGGTAATACTTTTTACTGGAGAGTTCACTACATTTTTGTTTTCCTTTCATACTCATACAGTATATAAGATATCATACAACAAAAATAAAGTTTACTAGTTTTAATATATTTCATCTTGATTAATTACAACAATGTATAATGGACAAAAGCAGCAATAATGAATGTACTTAACATAATTTTTGAACAATATTACCTTTTCAGCTAACAGTATAGGAACTATACTTTTAATGCAGTTTGTATTCTTGGGTGTCAGCACAAAACAGCCACAGTTTATCACTGTGTATCACACAGAGGATTCCTTATCCAATGCCATATGAAATTAAATGAAATAATGGAACAGATATCATAAACCACTCTTCGTGTTTTCTGAAATTACACAGGAAACTTTTATTTGCCACAGGTGATCGTGAAAACACAGGCAAGAAAGATGGTCTGTTTCTCTAGGATAATACTAGGGATAAAATATTGTGTTTCAATTAGTTTTCATGCTGTTTGATGAAATATACAGTATCTTTTTGTCTCATTTTGGACTATTCCCATCTATATTTTTTTAAAGGAAAAACAAAATTCTGATGCTGAAATCCTTAAAATGAAAAACTGAAATTGTTATCTTAGCATCCTGTTTGATTTGTCTAACAGTTTATAACTGATTTGTTTTTGTTCTGAGGGAAACAGTTCCTTCTGGCAAAATGTCAGATGCATATATGGTCCTTTATATTATTTATTTTTTAGAGCTGTTGTCAGACATTTTTGTGTTTGTCTGTTTTTTTGTAACCATCTGTACCTATTATTTCCTGTGCCCGGTATATAAAACTAGGTTTCATTTATTGAGAAATAGAGTGAATGCTCTGAATATGTTCAACTGTCTACCACTTCCTAACCCCTAAATCTCCTCAAAGAAAGTTATACTACATTTTGTGTGTATTTTCTCCATTAAATTCTTGGTCTACTAACAGGATACCCTTCAAAACACACAATATATACAGTACCATGTTATCATATATAGGAAGAGTGGGAGGTTCATATTTTTGTAGCACATCTGTTCTGTATTTTGTGAGGATATTGTCACGATTACCATTAAGATTTTGTGTCAGAGCAGCCCTACCAACTAACTTAGGACACATTGCTTTAGATTACAGAAATGAATACAATTTTTGATGATGAACTTCAATGTTTAATCAGGTCACTTTAAAGGTCTTATGGCTACCCTATGGAACCATATTAGTGCTTAGACAGCCTGAGGGAAATTATGTTTTATGGGAAAGTCTGTTTTGCTTTTGGAAAATATTGTGCCTATGCTTCTGAATTAGCCTCATCTCTAGAATGGAACTTACAGGGTACTTCACAGGCCACAGCAGAATGAACTCGGGAATTTGTACCCATTGCCTAATGATCGCTGATCACTTTTAGTTTTTGATGGATACATTTGCATATTTAAGAATTTATCATTAGTATGTCCCAGGGCACAGAATTTTTGTAAAAGGGCATGAAAATGTGTAGATATTATGCTATGAGTAATAATTATCACTGCTGGCATTTGATAACTATTTTTGTCTCTTTAGCATGTTTTTTAAGTTGAAATGTTAAAAGTCGATTTCTTCAATTGAAGCACATTTATATGCTAGTAATAACCAATTAAGCTATGTTTCTTATTCACATAAGGAAGACAGAGCTAATTCCACCAAAATATACAGTATTCTTATATTCAATAACACAGAGATTAAAATCACTTAAAGGGTGGAGGATTCATTACATTCTCATTAAAATTAACATTAGGATGCTATTCAAGTTGTGGCCAACTTCTACACAGCAATGTGCCTGCTAAGTCACTGAAACGGTCTAACAGCACTGAATTTTTCTTTCGGAATGAAAAGAGGTGTATTAAAGTCAGTTTCACCGCTGTTTCATCAGCACACCAGACATGTACTATACAGGGAAGCAGCTGTGGCAGGAATAAATGTCAATATCTAGAAGTCCCAGTAACATGTATTGTTCTTCGGAATGTAGCCATAAGACATTTAAAAGAAAACAGATGAGAGTAAGTGGCTCCTGACCTGCCACTTAACTTTGGCATACAACCACACCAGCTGGGATAGAATTTTCTAATTATCAGGTTAATTTCCATACATATATTGTTTTTAAAATGGTTGTCCGTAAGCAAGCTCCATTTCAAGAACTAGATCCATTTGGGTGTGGTTCACATCTAGAGGCACTTTTATTGTCTTTATTTTTTTTATTTCTATCATTTATATAGAACATATGTGGCTTTACATTTTGCCTGAAAGGAGTGCCATGTCTTTTGCAAAATCTAAACAGCATGTGACCAACGGGGGCGTAGCTCACTGTCCCAAACTACAAGTACTGCTCCCCTTTGTCGGGTGGAGAACTTTTTACATTTGGTCTGCAATTTAAGAGAAAAGAAAAAAAAAAACATGTTTAAGTCAATATACAGTTGTATTTGCAAGAAAACAAAACCAATAACAACCGAAACAATAAACAGATTCAGACTTTTAAAAATTATAGACATCATGACGTATGCATTAAAGCATAGATAATCAAAGTAGCAACATACAAACATGTTACTAGCCACATGTGCACAGGATGCAGCATCAAACCCACATTTTCATTGAGAGTGTCTTTGCCCACAAGTCCTACAAAACCAGTCCTCATTCACTGGGAGGTGAGGGCAATCGCGAGCAGACAGAGGGAACCTTGGTGATACTTTTTAATAGCAGATGCTGAAAGACACATCTATTTAGAGAGTACAATTTATACTATAGCGAGGAGATAAGGGTCCAAATTTTGAATCTAGGAAGGAACAAGGAAACGGAAAAGGTAAGTGGAACTTGGACAATCTTCGAGAAAAAAGGCAGGGGGTTGATCAGTCAGGAAAACTACTTTCGCTCAACAACTCAGCCCTGAATTAGAAAAAGAAGAGAAAGTCAAAGAACAGCATTAAAAGAGAAGGGAAGACACATTTTGATTTGTTCAATGTTTAGTAAAAGCAGATGAAGAAGACTACATTTTTTGTCTGCTGTGCAGAAGCCACAGTTGTGTTGTGTGAAAGGTTAAAAAACCAAAGACACAAACGGTTTTAATGATTCAGACTGTTTGTTTGTACTGCAAGTTGGTGAAGGGGACTCCTAAAAGCTGGTGGGTCTGACTAATTTCTGTTAATCTCTGGGGGAAGTTTAGAATGTTCTGGAAGATGGATGAGCCACAGATGAAACCAACAAACAAAGCATTCTCCTTTTATGTCTCTGCGTATGCAACGTTTTACAAAACTGAAACACTGCTGCATTGATTAAATCCTTTTAGCGAGAAAGTCAAGTGACAAAGCAATCTACTGCCGTGAATGTTCAAACACAAGTCAAATACAGAATATTGAGGTTGCGCTTCAGGTCCAGATTTCACAGTTTATTTGGGGAAAAACATTTCAAGTCCAGAGCTAGAAGAGGAGGCTTTCCGTTTGGGCATGACAGGGCTGTATTTATTGGGTGATTTGTCTGTCTTATGGCTGAATCTTAACCACTGTTCCACTGTAACCTCCAGTTAGGATGACTGGCACAGCTCTTGTACAGTAGGTTGCATGTGTGCCAGCTAGCTAAGGCTTGAACCCTGATTCTAGTACCCTTGGGTCTTACAGTCAGTGTCCCACTGACCTCCTTGTTACTTTGGCATTTACAACTATTTTTTCAAACAACATATGCGACAGCTCCTAGCCTTCAACTCTCAGTTTTTGAAATACCATGTCTTGTTTGACCCCAATGAATTTAACAAACAACTTTGGGTCAATCTGTCCTCCAAGTCTTTCACAAACATTTCCCCTCCAGGGCTTTAATTGCCTCTAATTGTGAATAGGTGGGAAAAACACTCTATCAGTACTGTAATAAAGTCATATTCACTTTCACTGAAAGCAATAGACTTAAATGTGAGGGGGCCCACAACAATAAGAGCATAGGAAAGGTTACTAATGTGTAGAGGTCATTCAGTCCATCTACTGTATAACTTTATGACTTACTACCCATGTGCTTCGAGTAGAGCTATTGCTCTTAATTGTAAGAGCCAAAAACCATTATGAAAGATGAATTATGACAAATGTTTAGGTTCCATGGCTCAAACATCCACATTTATTAAGACCTCAATGAAAATGAAGGGTTTCAAATCCATAAGACACAAGGGTACAGACTACAAGGGCTGGAAACCCTTGTTCTGGTTAAACTTTAATGCTGTACCTACAAACCATTTGCTTGTTTTTCCCTCAGTTCAGGATAAACAATATATCCAATATCTGATTTCAACCAACATATTGTGTAATGATGGGGGTTTTTGTTTTGAAAAGCTGATAGATGTGGGAAATTCTGTGACTGGGAAATAACATGTGCATCTCCAGTTCTTTTAACTTTAAAATCTTAATACTGTACTGGCTGAGACAGAAGGTCTATTTTTCGCTTCCTGAAAGTCATGTACAGTAGCTGATTCTACTTATAATTACAGCCCCAGACATTCTGAGATACAAAACGTAGACTTAACAAGTTAGTCCAAGCTATTAATTTGTTAATGAGAGCAAACCCTTTCAGTGAGGATTGTGACTGTCTTGCCATTTACTAATTTCATATCTGTACCTGAAGCATAAGGATAATACAGCATTTTCAATTATGATTTTCAAAAAACTATATAAAAAAGGAAATGTATCCTTGAAGCTTACAGCATTGTTTTCCTAAGGAATGTGACAAACATTTATAGACATTTTAAAATATAACTGCATTAATATAACTGTTAATCATTTTATATTCATATAACAGTGCACAATGAGTTTTGTTTATTCTCCCTCTTTTTTCTACTTCCTCTTAAGATTTCAGCCCAAAATTATAAAAATATAGAAAGACCTGAAAATACTTGTAAATATACTACACTGTAACTACACTGCATTTGCGCTGTTTCGAGCTTCATAAAACAATTACAGAAATGAGTAAGTTTTTAACAAAGCATTAAGACTTTAAATTCGAAATAAGGAATTGTATTTAACAAATCTTGCAATAGATGAAAAGGCTGTAAAAGATGTCCTGCCCTGGCAGTGTACTGTAGGTGATTAATATTCAGCAAAGACGTTTGAGTAGGGAGCTGTGTCAGTGTTACATTCAGTGGCCTGGCAGCCAGAAAAACTAAGAAAATGAAAGTATGTCTTTCAGTAGAGTGAGCCATTGATGCTTTTCTTCCTCAATTAAATGTCTCTTAAATTCTATTTAAGAGATGTTGAATTTGGCTATGTGTTATTACATAAGGAGGCTGTGCAATATTATTGATTGTACTGTGTCAGAAAAAAAATAATTGTAAAACTGAAAAATTACAATCACAAACTTTAATCTCAAAATGCAGGCACAATTACATTTCCTTGTAAAAAGATAATCAGCACAAAATGTTCTTTACTGCTTCTCTGTTATGCAGAGTTTAAAAAGCACTTCCCTGTTTGTATAATGGAACTGTGTATTTGTGAAAGCCATAATTTGCCAGATTATTTCTGGAGAATAATGCATTTTGGTTTATGAATGAATTCATTTAAAGCTAATGGATTACCAGTGCATCAATGCATGTGCTGCTAGAGTTGGGCTTGGCTGGGGTAAGTCAGTTTGTCATATTTAGATATATAGGCAGAAATATTCATATGTTATAGTAAACATATACTGTAATTATAGTATACAGTCTTTAATCCTTATTAATTGGTCTTTAAGGTTGTAAAAATTATGTTATCTTGCTGTATTGCTAATTGGGCTGTGATTGCAGTACATCTACTGTTGACAATTGCAGTGCTTGTTTACTGTTTTTTGTTTCAGTTTGCAAAGTACAATGTGCCTTTTGTTCTAAAATGAGAATAAGCTTTAGCTGTGCTAACACCATTATCTCATATCAGAGTACAGACAGATAACATCTTGACCAAGGGAAACCCATCTTCAGGCCATTCAACTCAATTTGTGATCGCCGTACCCATTATTTGCTATACAATTGGAAAATCATATTGCAAGATTTTGACATTTTGTTTCCAAAGTAGATTCTGAAATAGTTCAGAAGTGTGAGATCTCTATAGTACATGGTTTGCCGTATGGCAATTATTCCAGAATGCTTTGTTTGTCTCTCAATGTTAAACTCCGGAGTTAACAGATCATTAAGACACAGCTTGTGATGGGTATTAAAGCAAGGTTATAGTGACTGTTTTTTTAAAGATATACAAACAAATGGGATCAGATTAATACTGCATTTAGGAGATTTCACTTTTCCACTCTGATGCAATTGATTTCTGATTAAGCACTGTACCTCTTCAAAATTAAAATCAGAATTTTAGTTTTGTGCAAGACTTAATTATACCTCCAAACACATGCATCTGTGCCTTCCTCTAGCCAATGTTTGGAGAGATGAAAGAAATGGAGCCTTAAATTTGATTCATTGACAACAGTATCTGTGTATGGTAGGTATTCTGACCCAAATTTCGAAAATGGTACATTATGGCAAAAAAATTAAAATGGGGACTGTGTATAGGATTATATCAAAAAAAGAAAATGTTTAAATTAATTTAAATTACTGTAGCTGTTCCTGATTCATTAAAAATGTTTCATATAAAGTTAGGAAAAAAGGTTTGAGCTAGACTCCAAAAATTGATATAGAATTGTTTCCTCTTTATCAAAAATCAAAGAATTACAAAATGTGGCAACTTTGCTGGAGCTTTTTATTCGCAAACGTTTGTTATTTTATTATAATTTTTGTAAGTTTTCATCATACGTAATATAGATATTCCTAATTAAGGTCGGTGTACCTTAATCAACATGTGAAAAAGCCCCCATTGAGGAAGTGTGATAATTTATGTTTCCTTTTACCTTCGGAGAATGGTCCCACAGAATTCAGTTGCATCACAGAGAGCAAAAAGCTCCTAATTTCCAAGACCTTCAATGCAGAGGCAGCCTGGCTCTCCTGTTAAGTCATGTGGAACAGTCAACCAGAGTTCCAAAGCTGAATGCAAGCCAGGCAATAAAAGTAACATCTGAAAGGGATGGCTATTGCTTTTCATCCTGTTTTGTTCTTGTTTTTCAACTGCAGCTCTGACTGCTGTCGGCTTTTCTCCATGGTGATTACACCGCTGTTTACTTCCCTGTTGGGGACTTCTGCTCTTAATTTTCTTTAGTGTTTCTTTATACAGTAACCCCTGGGGCGCCCACACAAACACCCCTCAAGTTACTATGTAAATTGCACACATCTCTTTCCAAACCCAGCCCCATACATCAATCACTGTAGATGGAATGAACCAATGTGATCATTTGATTTTGCTGATCAGTTTGAAAAGTGATATTAATCAACACATTAATCCATTATAAACCATATTTGTTCCTTTTTTCCTAGGGAAAGAAGGTTCATAGCTGTTGTGTTTTCCCGTCAGTTATTAAATAAAACTTGACTGACATTGTTTTAATTCATTGCAAAGTTAGAATATTAATGATAGGCCAAATGTGATACCAGTTTCATTCCTCAATAGCGGCAGAGCAGAGTGTATTTTCCCTTGTGTTAACAGCACCTGATATTCAATTCTTTAATATGATTAAGAATCTTCTATTGCCTAATTCTGCACTTAAGATAAAAAGATCTTAACATTCATGTAAATAAACAAACATTAAAAAAGTGCTAGTAATTGACTTCTTGTCTGATGCATTAATAAAACAAGATCTGATTTTTATAACTATAATAGTTCTTTTAAACTGCACCAATTAAGAAATTAAATCTGCCGGCCATTTGTATCCAGTCTAACAATGAGTGAAATTGTCAGGTCCATATCTGGACAAAGTGGGGCTAAAAACTGTTTGCAGAATTATGAATTAAACAGGGTAATATCCTCACTCAGGGCTTCAAACATAGTTTCTGGTGAGAAGGGGGGGGTTACTTTCAAATTTGTCTCTTAGCTCAGATAACCTACAGTAATTATTGGCTCAACACAATATCGTTTGAGGTCTTTTTACGATGCAAACAATATTCTATGTTTCTACAGCACTTTTCATCCAGAAGGATGCCAAAGTGCCATAGATATACTTTAGGAGGAAAGTACTACACTACTGTACATCTGAAATCACCACTGAAGTACTACACTACATCTGAAATCGAGGATGAGAAACACGATCAAGCCTGAGCAGAAGCAGTAGGTTTTTCCAGTATCAAATTGCTCAGGCAATTAACTGAGTGCTGGGTTTGATCAAAAGCCTGTGGTCCTCAGAGGACTGGGTATGACCCTCTTGTCCTATAATGGGTTTCATTGTAGAGGTGGGTCTCATTCAGAAATACTGAATACTGGAGCCCAGAGCTCTAGGCTTTTAATCCAAACAATGTTTCTGTGGTGAGGAACAACATTTTAAATGAGTAAGTAGTGTAGTAAATCGTTGCACTAAAATTAGTCCTTAGTTCAGTCAAAAAATGATCCATTTTAATTTAAGAAGATTCATGAATATCTTAAAACAGAACTCCGTCTTCCCATTTTCCTGAGGATGATTTTTACTTCATGACATGAGAAGCAGCTTTTGTCACCAAAATATAAAGCTTCTTTGGTGAGCATGTGAAAATTGTTATACTTTACATCAGTTGAATTGTTTACCACTATACATTTGGTTGTAAGCTAGAAGATGTGTTTTGTTAAAGTGAAAAAGGGTACTACTTTTCATAAAGCACCTCGATCGGTCATATGGAAATCTTTTTGGCATTATGCTGTTTTAATGAACCTTCTAACAGATTATAAAATTATTCCCACTCTTTGGGCTCTGTTTTCTGGGAGGAGACTAGAGGGAGTCTGACTGAGGTAATTATCACTTAAAAGTGAAAGCGATGTGCAAGAAAAAAAAGATTGTAATTCACCTAATGGCAGAGGAAAGTCATTTTCACACATTTTAAGTGTTCATTTTGCTTCGCATTCATATGCAAAACCCATTTTGCACTAGTAATACACAGAAAAATGAATGCATTCTTCCCACTTAATCCTCTAGATCTGAACCCAAACAATTTACCCTATGGCCCGATGGGTTTTTTTCTTCCAAATTTGTGTCCAGCATGGAAGCAGGAAACAGGGGTGTAATCATGGTGGGATTAAGGAACTCCGGCCTCGACTGTTTTACAGTCTCTATTCTCTGCAGGGTGGTGGTTTCTCTGGGGTATGTGCTAGTATTTATTTACACGTACTCCCTGGCTGTGGAAGGCTGCGATTGCCTGTAGTACTGCTGCCCTCTCCTCTCCTCGTTGGGGCAGGAGCAGCAGAGAAAGGACCCCCCCAGCATAGTCAAGCTGGCGGCAGCCCAGCCCACAAACAGAGCTGAGCCAAATTCGTACCTGGAGCAGAGAGGAAAAGGAGGAAAAACCGCTCTTGAATTATTTTGCTCAGACTCACTTGCTTCTGGGTGTCAGCCATATCACTCTCAGTTTGGGATCTGGGACCAGTTATTAGGGAACAAACTAGCTGGACAGACTAAATGACCTCTGATAGCAATTGCTTTCTCTAACAGATAGTGACAGAAATCTTTGTTCTTGTGTAGATGAGTCTATTATACAAAAAAGAGACCTTAACAATAGTCACATTTAAATGCATAGAGTTTAGAGTTATCTGTAATTGGATTCAATGTGTAGTCATACAGCTCTTTCATGAAATATAAATCTAAAATAAATGTACGAGTCCTTTGGACCAAAAAATAAAAAATAAAACATTTGTTAACCCTTATTTTTCCTATCAAGATTTATAAAGTACAAAACTTTGTTAGGTACGTGCCATTCGTTACTATGTGATTTTACACTTGCAACATTTAGTTTAGAAGGGACAGCATTGGTAGTCTTGAACTTTACTATTTTCTATTGCTGGCATGGTATTCAGGTCAATTAAAATCAAAATAGGGGGATATTAAGATGAAATAAAAACATTCTACAATACATACAGTTTAGAGAATTGTGTAGTTTGATTTTTTCTTTGGTTAATGGATTATGGAGCAGAATAAACACTGGGTAGAGCAGTGTGTAACGTTAACACTTAAATCATCCTGGGAACAGAATAAATTGTGATTTACCTGGCATTTACAGGTGTGTTTGGATTGAAGAACTGATGGGAGACTTGTGTGGCATACCATGACACAGACACCAGTGTGCACAGCCCTATGGGGAAAAAAAAACATAAACATGTACAGGAAATACATCATAAGAGTGTGCTCATATGTTTACAAAGTATGAGAAAATGGTTACTTTTATCACCACTAGTCCCATTCACTAATTGAAATGTAAATGTTTTCTCTCCCATTCTCAGTTTCCTGATATTTTCTGTTCAAAGATTTAGGTACAGTAAATGTACTCAGCACAATAAACCTATAAACCTATCAATTAACAATACATTTTTTCCATGATCTTTGTCCAGGTACATCTGAGTCAATGAAGTGTGGAACTGTGGAATTCTTCTAGTTGTGGGATAGCATTCAATTTACTTCAATTTTTCATCATGTATGTACAGTATCTCTCACACTGATGACCCAATTTCTTTATTTGTCTTTTTGATTGTGAAGATTACTTAAACATGTATGCTATACATGTATGTTTCTTATTTTTAAGGGGCTCATGGTGTGTTAAATGTATAATCCTATGGTATTGTGTTGTGTCTTTAGCAAATTTCCCATCTGGGACAATAAAGGAAGTACTGTACTGTAAGTAATTGTGGAATTGTCCCAGTTATGGAATAGCATTCTGTTGTGTAATTGTTCCAGTTGAAGAATTGTATGTTTTTAAGTAAGAATGACAAGGCAATTACATACTTTCTGGAATATTTCACACAGCAGTTTCTAGCCCTAAACTAAATCAAAATGTTTCATACTTTCTGGAGATGTCTAGGGCAACATTTGAAGCCCATAATGTCTCATCACAATAATAAAGTGCACTATTTCACTACAGTAAGATTAACAGATGTTTTCTGGTGTAGCAAATCATAACTGTTGTGGGCTCCAGTGTGGAAATCCCCTCTGATCTTACCTAAATCCAAGAGGACCTTCGACCCCAGTTCACTCAGCTTGTCAATCAAAACTCTTGAAAAGGGAATCACTGCTTAGCTCAATGTCTTTCACATTATACAGTATGTTGCGAATTCCTCCACCTGCTACATCCTTTACCATATTACTTTAAAACTTGAACTTAAACTTTATTGCCATATGTAACAGGTACTAGTATAATGGAATGTAAAACACAAGGTGCAGACAGTGCATCAAGACAATATGATGCACTGTCTTCCAAACTGTAGACAATGTACAAGTAAACAAGTAAACAGTTTGAATGTAAACAATGCAGACATGTAATCAATGACTGCAATAAATAAGATAACAGTGAAGAAAAAATCACTTTATGCAGTTGGAGAGGATTCCTGCCTATTTAAGAAACCAGGATCCACTGGTCCCAAACTAAATGGGCTAAGACGAACATGCACTATATTGTCAGAGTGCACATGTTGGGTTTTTATTTTCCACTGTTTTTACAATTTCTAAATGTTGAGATTTGAGGCAAAAAATGTCTGAACCTCACCTGCGAGGAGGAAGAGGACTCCTCCCGAGACTGCGATTCGGCCCTTTGTGATGGGATTGTTATCTCCCACTTTTGTGCATTTCATCCCCACCACACTGACAATGATCGCAATGAATCCCATCAGCACAGACACTACCATCAGAGCCCGACATGTCTGGATATGAACTGGAACACAAATAAGAAAACCATGCAAATTAGCGAATTACAGACTGAACTACACAGCACAGTAAAATGTGCACCTTTTGTGAATATGCTCTGGGAGATAAACCAAAAAATACAGACAGCAATATTAAATTAAAGTTGTGGACAGTGAATGAGCAAGTAGTGTATGATAGCTAGTCTATTAGCTAGATGTAGTGGATTTAGGAATTAGTGAAGTGCCATCTTTTGCTTTTATATTGCAAGGTTTACACTCGAGGTACTCATGGAATATCACTCCAATATCACTTTTATTATATCCAGTTATAATACACAGGTGATGAGCTTTGTTTGGTTAGTGCCAGGTGTTCAACCCAGAAAGTTCAGTCTTTCTTTCATCAGACCAGTAGTCTCAGGGTCTGCAATGTGTCTTCTTACAAACTTCACTGTGTGGTATTACCTTCCACCCAGCCTATCCCCCATAGAGGATGTATTGATCTGTGTTGTACCACAGAGCCTGTTGTCCTTGGATAGCTTCTATGAACTTAGCTGTGGAACTCTGTAGTTGTGTCAAGGTGGTCATTGGGTTTTTGGTCACTTCTCTGATTGACTCAGTTGCTCAGTTTGGGAGGATGGCCTGCTCTCAGAGTCTGAGTGTTTTTCTCTTTCCATTTCCTAATTCCGAACCTAAAATCTGTCAGCACCTTGGATATGTTTTTATACTCCCCACATACTGTGTTGTGTCTCCTCACAATTATATCACAGTGATTTCAGCAGAGGGCCCTTAGTGTATTCTTCTGAGATCATGTCCACAAAGTGAGTTAACCATTTCAGTATTCTCTTTTAAATTCAATGTAAAACCTTAACAGAACCTTTGTTCTTCCTTAACATTATAGAGTAATTTGCGTAGATCAGTAAAAGAAAAATCCCAGATGAATTTTTAAGTTTGCAACATAACAAATTATGAATAAATCCAAGGGTATTGAATACTTTCTGAAGGCACTGTCTTTACTGTACATACAGTGCAGCCAGAGTGGTACGAGCAGTGTGAGATCTGTTTGAAGAGCAGAGGGTTGACCTACTTCTACGTTGCTTCCTGCACCTGACTCCCTTGTCATGTGAAGCCTTATTCCTTGTGATCATTGCCACTTACAGTACTTCTTATACCCCAGCATGGCTGGATGTACTTGTCATAGTTCACATGCCCTGAAGTCCTGACACCCTGGTTTCATTTCAGGATGTAGACTAGTATACAGTAACTGTTAGATAACTTTGATTATTTAAGATATACGTACCACTCAAACAACATATACATATGTCACAAGTCATTCCCTAACTTTTGTGTATGCATCTATTGAACTTTTCCTGTTTTTTCCTGGGTCAATTTAATTTGAAGATCGGGAGCAGAAGTATAGTTAGATTTTCTGGAAATCCCATTTTTTGGCACTGCTCTCTATGTCACTGTATAGTTATGTTGTCCCTGCTTCTTTGAATTCCATGAATAACCCACATAGAATTCAGAGGTCCACTAATTCCGTAGGAGTGATGTATTTACATGTCTCATACAGACGGGATTAGTTTTCACAAAGGGGGATTTGTTCTTGCTTGTGCCACAGCCTTTGTTTAAGGTTCATAGCTCAATATTTGAAGAAAAAAATGTTTTAAGCTTCAATTCTAGTTAATACCTCCCACATTGAAGTCTTTAAACACTCTCTATATTTCATCAAGATATACAGTATGATTAGGATTTTGAAATAGGGCAGCATTCAAGGTTGTTATTTGGTTTGGAAGGATATATAAATCATTTTTGTTGTCCTGCGTGTGAGCCATAATTATTTTAATATGTTTGTGCCTTCAGTCAACTGAAGGGTTTTGTGAGAGACAGTGGTGATCTAATATCAAAAACATTTATATCAAGAACATTAACAGTGTATATATTAGAAGAGCAACAGAATTATAAAATCCATTGGTTTAAAATAAATGAGAACACCAACGCTTAAAAGCGTTATGTAGTTTTTATTAACTGCTCCTGGACAAAAGATAACATTCATTCTCCTGCTACAAAGAAGCAACAATAACACTAAAAAGCAGCTATGGAACATTTCTGTTCAATACATACTGTAGCACAAGCTGAGGTTTTAAAGTGTAAATTAAAATGGCTGAAATAATCCACTTAGAGAAGAAGCAAAACCACAGTGTTCTCCAAAGCACTATGTTCTCCTGGTTTCTAGATCAGCCTTCAGGCTTCCAGAGACATGCTGGCCTGGGTACTTAGTGTTTTTAAACTGTCCCTGTGTGCTTGTGTATTTACTGTGAGTGCTCATGGTGTGATGCCACCCTGCACACTGTGTTTCTGGTGTGGGCTCCAGTGTGCCACACCCTTTATAAGGAATTAGAGGCCTTCTGATGCAGATGGATTTCATCCCCACCACTTTAGAGTAAATCATTGTCTGTAAAATGCAAATCAATTATTAAAGTTAAACTTGTTTCATAGAATATTGTTTCTTTGGAAAAATAAGCATTTTCAGTTTTTACATTTTGCTGATCATTTCGAATGTTCAACCAGTGAATACCATACAGTATACTGGAAAAGAATAGTTTCTCTTTAACTCAGAATTTATGAGTCTGCTATTAACTTTATGGCTATTTCTGTGAATGTGTTTGTGTCTTAGAACATGTCTTATACATCCACATAAGCACTCATAGCTAAAACTGGTATCATATGGTTCAAAATTCAAATTGCAGTGCATTTGAAAAACATATTTTGTACCAATTATCCCAGCTTTCTTTTTTCAAAAGGTGAGGACCAGATCATTTTCAATGTGCAATATGCTTTTCTTGCCTTCATCCATGCAAAACTCCATTTAACCTGGTGAGGGATTAGGTAAACTGGAGTCTATGGCAGAGCTGAGAGGCACAAGGCAGGGCTGAAAACACAGCAGTTCTCAACTGGAACAGGATGCCAATAATTCAAAGGGTCATGAAGAATTGGACAATGTAGAACAGTGAATGAAATCTCACCAACATGTCTTTTGGAGGTTAAAGAAATCAGAGTCCACAGCAAAAACCCACACAATTACAGGGAGAGGAAAGTCTGCATACCTATAGACAGACTCCAGAGGCCAGAATCAGTACACAGAGTCCTGAAACTCTGAAGTGGCAACACTAAACATCACATTATCATGGACCCTAATGGGATTCTGATGCATTACCACTTAAATTCAAATGTAAAGAGTTTTATTGGTATGACTGGTGGCATATTAATAACACCATAATAAAAGATGCACAGACTACACTCCATTTATACTGTAAGTGAAATCATACAAAACATAAACTCTTCAGTCTTATGTTCAACTGACTGACAGAAGGTATATGTTTTGTTCTGAAAGTGTCTGGTTATGTTTAAAAAAAACACTGAGTATTTCTGAATTTTGAATTTTCTTTTTTAGCGCCATCACTACCCAGGACTCCTGCATGTTAGTGGCTGGCCATTTGGCATAATGGGTTTGTTTGAGAATGCCGTGCCAGGAAAACTTCAATTGAACTGAAAGTGAATTTAACATGTAACTTTTAGGTTTACACGCTCTCCTTGAATAACTTTCACTTCCTTGATACAACAAGTACCATAAATAGAAACATAAAGTGCTGACTACAAAGCACAGACTGTTATTGTTGTTGTACAACATGTTATCTGATGCAAGTGAAAACAGTATCAAACCATTTGACATTGAGTCTCATGGGAGTCCCTGAACTAAAATATTTTAATCATATAAAACAATTAATCACATTCCTCAAGAAAGGCAGCTTGAGTGCCAAGCCTCCCACCATCTTCAAATAAAATGCCAAGCCTGGCAGTGCCTGGCTCTAGTCAAGAGGAGCCCAACAGCATTTGCTAATGCAGTCAGTAACATGTTCCAATAAGGTGTTCATTGTACTTTCTTTTTTTCCCAGCTTACATTGTTTATTGTGATATCATGCCACTATTGTAGCCATGTTGCAATGGCTATGATCCAGTGTCCCAGTGTCAAACAGCCAGTTCATCTTCAGCCTTAGATTTTGAGATTATGCAGCAAGATGTATACACCATACAATTATCAACTTTTTTTCTGTTCAAATCATGAAGTTGATATCTGCAACTTTTCAAAATGGAAAAAAAATATCTGTGAATTCATTAACCTCTCAACCAAAGAAAAAAAGCTTTAAGAAGGCACTGTGACGTGACTGTTTTTATGTCATAGTCCACTGCACAGAAAACATTCACTACTGTATTTAAAAGTATAAAAGTATACAGTATAATGATTTTCAGAAATACTGAGGAAAAAAATCTACTACAGTTTCTGGAGATCAACGGTTTCTATAAATTGAAGTCACTTACATTTTTTTTAATTTGACTATTTCTGACAAGGTTTAAAATTTTAATATGAAGATGATAAGGAGCCAAAATACCTTAAAAATTAATCTAGGTCAGTAAAATGTGTTTAATTTCCTTTGCAAATTACAAGTTATAAGAAAACAGTCTTTTTTATGCTATATTTTAAGTAAATGTTCAAAATCATAAAATTATATACTATATGTGTTTACTGTAGTTAACGGTTTGAAAAATACAGCAAATTGCTTTTATAGTTTCACAGAGCAGTGTGCATTGTAAATGTTTAGTATTGTTCAGCCCTGCAAAAAAGACTCTCCTTTGAGCACAGTTGGCTATGCTATGGTCTATGAAAGATCTTGGTTTATTACAGATATTTCAGATGATTTTAGCTGGTGATGCACATACTATAACAATATATCACTCAAGAAAAGACATCAGAGATTTATTTGAAATGAACGCAATGCAGGATTTTAGCACTTAGTATGTAACATGAAGAACATGGAGGATACTGTTCTACAAGCAGTCCAACAGACATCTCCTCTCTGCCTCTACCACTGTGGGATGGGAATGGGATTAGACTCCCACTTGGAATATCACCCAGTGAATACCATTTGTCTGTCAAACACGGTGATGTGTAATTTGTTAGCTTTCATTATGG